TGCAACTCTGTAATTAATAATTCTTTTCTGATGTGGAAGATCAGTCAAAGCTGCAACCACAGAGCATACTAAGAATTATAATTACCAGATCACCCGAGCTCTGCACCTTAGCTTTGATACCACTTGTTAGGCCCCCACTCCAAACAAATCGAAAGAAAAGGAAAAAAAAGGAGCACACAATTTTTAACTTGGTTCGGCACCTCAAGACCTACTCCACGACCCCCTCTGGGATAAAATCTCACTAGTAATTTTTGCACGGAAAAATTACAAACCCTCTTCAATATTTGACACTCACAACCTAAAATCTAATACACAATTATATAGATTGAAGGATTGTGTTGTGTGATGGAAGCCTATATCTCCTCTTTATTTATAGGCTCCAATCCCTCCTCAATTTTCCTATCCCACCGATGTGGGACTTTGAAGTAACACTCAACAGTATGGTGACTCTCTGCCGTGTGTATGCATCTTTAACTTTTTCTTCTTCTTCTTACAGAAGTAATTTTCTAGGGATCAAATTCATTAATACTTTGTGGAGTAATATTTTCTACAGTTTGTGCAGGTTTTTTTGCTGGATGAAGTTTTTGATCCAAGCTGCACCATAAATGGTAACAATCAGTGAACACTAGATTTGTAGTTTTTTAGGAACTTATGTTTTAAACTTGAAATATGACATTACTTGCTAGAGAGGTGTTCTTCGTGTTCAATTTTTCAAATTTGCATCTTCTTTGTGTACTTTGTCTACAATTTATTTCTTCTTTATGAATTTTGTCTACAATTTGTGCATGCCAAGCTAATCATCTTTCCTATTTTATTGGTTGTCACCAAACAGACGTACTGTGTCTACATTTGTTCTATCTATCCATTATGTAATGCATGGTTTTTTATTGGATAAATTGAAACAAAAAGGCTTCTTTAAATTGTCAGTGTCCTTCGCTTGAAACCCCTGATGGCCTGATGATTGTCCATGAGGAAAGCACAGACCAATTCCCTTCAGTTTAACTAGAAGTTACAATTAATAAGATTTGAAAAAGTCTAAGTTACATCCAAGAGACAGAGCGCGGACAAGAGCCATTATTGACATGAGGATTAGGGTTCCGAATCCTAGCCACTGACTTTGTAATCTGATGGTGCGGCATTGGTGTAGAACCTAGCAGAGGCAATGACTGGGCCGAGATAGAGTTTCGAGCCTAGACTCGCCCATGGAGGACACCAGTGCAACACAAGGAAGACACATTCAAAGAAGAGGTAATAACATCTTTTTCAAATGTCCAAATAAGTGAATGTTGCTCAAACAACTGTGTCTTAAGATCGAATCAACCGAGGTAAACCACGTGCGGATTTATAGGAAAATGTTTATCCATTGGGATGAGAAGGTAGGTAATTTCACTTCCCTATTTTTCCCTTCAAATTTAATTAAAAAATATTGATAGTTTGGCATGGTCTCAACCCCTTACCTCCTAATTTGTAATTTGACTTTAGCAAACAACACAAGTGATGGAGGCGGAATCAGAGAGGTGCCTGCTTAGCAAGAACTCCATAAAAACAAAAACTAGCCAAAAAACAGTTTTGGAAATGGCGTCGGTCAAGTGGTTTCTTCTCTGCATTTTCTTCACCGCCGCTTCTGCTAATGTTCAAAGTGAGCTAATTTTTTCCTTCACTTTCCTTTTGAATTTCTCAAAATTGCTATTTTCCCTGCTACTGAATGGTCGTGTTATGCTTTTTGGCCGGTTTATTCTCATTGCAATGTTTTCAAACTTTACTTAGGTTTTTGGTTCTTTCTACTTCATTCAATGGTGAACTATGAACACTGGATCTTGACATTTTCCAACCCTTAATTACCTAACTCAATATAGTAATGAAACTACAAGTCTATATGGTATCAGAACTTCCTAATTCAAACTCAAATTAGTAATTTTGGTTTTTGAAGTTTTTAGATCTCACATTGGATTGAGGGGTATCTTCAGACAGTAGGGTAGCTGAATTCAAAAGATCCTTCTGTTTAACTACACATTCTTATAGACATTATTGGTGTTTGCTTAAAATTCCTAGGTGAAGCCTGCGTTTAAGATGTAGCCATTTAAATTTGTGTGTGCATGTTTGTGTTTAGGGTACAAATGGTTGCCATGAAAGTTGATGTTTTTTCACATCCCGTTGGATAAAAAATGCTCTTTCGCTCGCCCATGAAAAAAGGCCATACTCGACAGTGACGAGGATAGGTGTAGAAGTCAAGGTAAGAACTTTGTGTGACGATTGTTTAGCGGCTGTGGTGATTCATTTGAATTGTTCTTTTGAATGCTAAATTGAAACAACATTGAGAATAGATTGTTTTCTAATAATGAAGAATCCTTTCAAAGCAATTGACCCAACATTTCCCAGGAGTATAAAGTGATTTTGATAGCAACATAGTTTTAATTTCCTGGAGATAGCAAATAAGAAAAATGTTAAGGAGTATTTCGGTTTGCTCATTGATTGAACTATCCCACTTCAAAAAAATTGAGCAAACGTCACAAGTTTTGTAGCTTTGATTTTGTAATTTAATCTCCATATTACATTGCTTGCATATTCATAAATTACATTTCGACAAAATTTGATTTTGATTCTTGAGAATATTCTTGAGTTTTGCATATTTAAACCTTTTTTTCATTTGTTCCTTTTTCTTTCTCATGGTCCTTATATAGTTATATTTTGCCATCAACTAAAAAAATTACTTTTAGAAAAGTAATATTGTAATTGTCGTCGAGAGTTGGCGAATTCTTTACTCTTAACTCATGTATTATGTTTATTTTTAAGGCCTGCTCACACACGCCTCCTAAAAACTCTCTGCCACAGGATTCTATGGGGTTAATGTTGTTGGTAGTTTGCCCGAAGCGATACAAAGGTAACATATATTTTTATTTAATTTATTGATATCTACGAGTGCTCTATACATCATTTCAAATAAGACCCTTAATTTTTTGCAGGTATTTTCTTTTTTTTGGGCCTAAGGACTACACATTTTCATGTGAACCTACAGTTGAGATGAGGGTGGTAAGCATATACTTTTGAAAGTGAGAAAATACACAAAAAGTGGTGTGGACCTTTAAGTTCACCAAAGAAGCTTTTTTTGCTGGTCGACAAGGTGCTTATTGAGTTCTTTTTGAATCTATTGATAGAAGAAGATTGAGTGTACAAAAATGTAGATGCACTTTTCTTATGTAAGCAGTAATAAATATTATGCTACTCGGTAAAAACTATAGACGACAAGTGATTAGATTATTATATTGGATAGTGTTACGATACAGTATGCTTTTAAGATGCATCAACTTCAAATTTGAATTCTACAACTAAAAATCTTGAGTTTTTATTTTACATAACTATTATACATAGGTGAACTCTTTACTACGAAGATTCATTTTACTGGAATACTCTTTAGGGTTTGTTTGTTATGTACTACCTCTGTCCCATTTTATAACGCCTGTTTCGGTTTACGATGTTTGACTGAAATTATTTTCAAACCATTTTATATGACAAATGGTATAAAATTAAAAAATAAAAATTACATATTAAAAAATTACATCAAAAGATCTACAAAACTAGTAGCGATAATAACATTTTATTTTATCAAATTGCTAACGAAAATAGAGAAAGAAAGTGAATAAAGTTTGACCCTGTGAATAGTAAACATGCATTATAATTTGGGACGGAGGGAGTAATTTGTTTCTTATCTCAATGATGTCCTTTGAAAATGATTTTATGAAAGATCGCATAAATCAATCCATATACTAAATCACTTAATATTTTTCTAAAGAATAAAATCTTTATCTTTTTATATAAGGGAAGAGGTATTGGAACAATGTTTGGCTCGAATTTTTAAGCTACAATTTTTGGGTAATATAGACTAGATATTGTTTTTTAACCTGATCAGATATAGTTGTTGAATTTTGATAACGATGGAAAACTTGCTATGTACTACTCCCTCTGTCCCATTTTAAATTGCCTGTTTGACTTTTTCACTGTCCCAAAATAAGTTGCATGTTAGTTGTTTTCGTAAACTTTTAAAAATAAAATACCTAAACTACCCCTAAAATAAGTTACTCTTCTTCACCTTATCTTCTCATTCATCATCACCTCTCCTAAAAAATAATGTTAATTTTGAAAAATCAACTCTATTTTTTATTTTCCTTAAATATGCCCAAAAATCAAAACATGCGATTTAAATTGGGACGGAGGGAGTATATTGTACATCTTGCTTCATCTACACTAATCTTAGCCAGCTGCCAATAACGGAATTTAGACCTCAGTCGACGAATTCTATGTCGTCAATGTTGATTTTATAATTTTTTGAAGAATAAACTTAGGATTATATTAAAATGGAGTACCTCATTTGTACACCTGACAAACACACACTCTTTTTCTAATACCAAATTTCTTAAAAGGTTTAGTAGTCCTTCAGTGGTGACGTGGTGTTGTGTTAACAACTAGGTAAGTTTTAGAGACTCTTACATAATTGCATTATACGTAGTACTTTTATAAATGCATAGAATTTTGTGTGTTTTATTATTTTTAAAGGGTAAATGTTAGAGTCATAAACAAATAGTTCACAAACTTTACAAATTTGTTTTTTGTAAATTTTAAATTAGAATATCTTTTATTATTTGAGTGCATCTTATTTCTAAGAAGATGTTAAAAAGGCAAGTTGTGAATTTTGTAAACTGTTTATTTGTGACTCTAGCAGTACTCTTTTTAAAGATGTATAGTATTTTGTGTGTTTTACTATTGTATTTTTAAAGATGTATTTCATTTTTAAATGTGTTGTATCGACTATGTATTTAATTTCATATTCATATTTGTATTTAGAGATAAATTCTAATAACTATAAATATTTTAACTTTAGAAAAATTAATGTTTGTGCAACGCACGGATACAAGGCAATTGTAACTTATCTTTAAACTAGCACGAATATTTTGTTATTTATACTTTACATATCTTATTATTTTAAAATTTTTACCATGCATCGCACAGGTTAAAATCTAGTTTTAGCCCAAAGTTAGAAACTTCAATTCACATGAGAAAATAGTTCAAATGATGTATGCATTGATTGTTTTCATGAATCTATTAGAAATTTAAAAGATTTTCAATGTTAAATACTCGCAGATCCGAGAGAAAGGATTACCGGAGAGAAAAGGCGTGAACATCTAGCCAGTCAATAAGACTGAGTTGACAATATGGTGAACATCTTCATTTTCACAATAATATTTCACATTCAAAAAGACTGAGTTGACAATATGGTGCCAGTTCTGATTTCGAACATCTATGATGTTCCATTCGTAAAATTGACAGTTCCTACTTTTAGTAAGACCCCACCCCAACCCAGTCCGAACCCACCACCCTAACCTCTTGAATTTCATCATTAAAGTTTTATTGATTTTAAAGTCAAATTAGAGTCAGTAACATCTTTTGACACTCATTTTTAGTGTCAACGAAACCTTATTGATTGTTAAATTTTTCAAATCAAAATAAAATAAATTTTCTTTTTATGCAACACACGGGTAAAAATATTAGTCAAGAAGTTATTATTCCATGATTGTCGCTTACGCCATGTGATACGAGAATTTGTTTTAAGTTTCAAGAGAAATAATTCTCAATTATGACTTCATTATCAACGACGATTATCAAAAGTCAGGAGTAATCTTTTTCTCAGGTTGGATTGTTACCCAAGAAATCAATTTCAGTCATGCTCAATTTTACGTGGCAAAATCACATATCACAAATCGCAAATGATTAAATTAAAGATCTTTCCAATGAAGACCTTGCATTGTCGAATCAAACTATAAATGTAGTTTATAAAGAAATTTTCCAAATCTTATACCACTTCCCATCAATATTGTCTATAAATGTATATTTCTCTTTCTTTAGGATTATATTATACGGAGTATTATCTTATTTTTAAGTATTTTTTCATTTTCCTTCGTCAAAACTTCTAATGATTCCTTAGTCAATAATTTGTCCGTGCAACGCACGAGTACGAGTCTAGTTCGGTCAAGATTCAAAGACTGAAAATGCGAAAAATGGATTGTCCAAATAAAGTTTGTTTGGTAAAAAAGAAGGGTAATGCTACATGTACCCCATTTTGTACCCTAATGTTTTGCCCTGACATTAAATATAGGTGCAAAACTGATAATATGCCAGTGTTGCACCTACATTAAATGTTAGGTTAAAGCTTTGGGGTACAAATTGTTGGTGATTTTAGTGTCATCGGTTTATTGTGTGTAATTGGATTTACTTAGATCAGACAAGAATTTTAATAGACGTTGTCAAATGAGTTAGGAGGTGTGGAGTGTGCGCTCGTTCAACGATATTACAAATTCACTGCGGGGGTCCGGGGGTGACAGCCCCCGAGTAGCGGGGTCCAAGGGGCGGCAGCTCCTGGCGGGGTCCAAGGGGTAGAGCCCCTGGCCGGGGTCGAGTATTTTTTATTTCGGACGCTATTTCTTTATGAAAATCCTTAAGATTTTCGTGATCAGAGTCCAAAACAGTAAAGGACTCGAACTAGTGTATAAACGTCAAAATATACTCTAAAACCACAGGAGACTCTTCGTTCAAACTCGTGCCTATCCTCTTCCCGCGCGAACGTACACGCGTATGTCTACGCGAAGGATCATGTCCGATCATAAAAATTTTAGACTCTATAAAATAGAATCTCGTGGTATGGATTGGGTGACGAATTTCAAGTGTTTGTTCTTGATTAACGTCTTATCCGATTGAAGTATTTCGTATACCCCGAAATAACTTTGATCTGAAAGCGTCTCGTACGCGATTCGTTATACTATCGAGTTCTTCTTTAACACTGCTTTGCAGTGTTCTTCCTTCCTAAAATCCAACACAAATTGGGGTACAAATATGGGGTACATGTAGCATGCTCCAAAAAAGAAACATCTGTATGTAAGAGCATCATCTTTAATGGAAATAGGAGAATATATCCAAAATTTGTACCCTAATTGTATATCATAGGTGTGAACCAACATTTTAATAGTTCACACTGAGACAAAGTTTTGGTACGTTAACAAAAATTTACATTGGCACAAACTGATGGTGCGTTAACAAAAATTAGCATTGTACCAATGTAAAATGTTAGTGCGTCCCAGCAGTGTACAAAATAGGATACAAATTGTTGGGGTACAAATAGATTTACCGATACTATCACGCCGAATTACTTAGGGGCTGTTTGACAACTTCTGAATAGGTAAGTGCTGAACCAGTAAGAGGTCTGAACAATTAAGAGCTAGTATATTGTTTAACTATTCAGAGGCAAATGTCTAATCAATTCAGATAAGAGATCTTAACCATTCAGACTCTGTATAATACTTAACCATTCAGATACAAGTCTCTTAACCATTCAGACATATGAACCATTAAGAGGCTGAAACAAACAGTCTGAACCATTAAGTGTTGAATCATTCAGACATCTGAACTATTAAGAGGCTGAAACAAACAGCCCCTTAGTTTTAAAAAAGTTGATTTAGAGCTAAGTAGAGCAAGGAAGCAATTGTTCATTAGTTAAGAATTCCTCCTAAGCAAGTTGCACTAAAATTGCTCTAAGTCATTTTATACGGAGTACTCTATCTATCTCGTTAAACTTTTTCACATTAAAAAGAGTTTTTATTTTGTAGTCCTAAGATCTATATATAAAATGTAGATTTCTTTTCATGGGCTAACGGGCTATTGGTGGATCTTTTTTGTGTAAAAGGTTCAATTCTTTTATGATAACAATGCACTAAGGTCCATAACACAAACGTAAATCTTAGGACTAGGGAATAATTTGTCTAAAAAAGGTAGATTAAAGAAATTTTTAATTTTGGTGTTACTATCTAATTTTGAGAGTGTTCTACATACTCTCTCCCTTAAAAACATTTCTCCTTTTTTTGGAGAAAAAACTAGAGTAGGAGTAAAATATTGAAAATATACCAAAATAGGAATTTCATATTTTTATTTTCGAAATAAGAGTAAAAGTGTATTTACTTTACCAATCATAACCATGTACATTACCAAAAGTATACCAAAATGTACATGTACCGTGTCACATTACCACAATGCGAACTCCCACTCAGGAAATAAAAACATAGAACTCCTATTTTTGTACTTTCTCTATATTTTACTCCTATTTAGGTTGACTTCTTCTTTCTTTTTTTTTCTTGTCCCAAAATTATTTTCTCCTTTTTATTAAAAAATTATTATCTCTACCAA